CCAGCTGGGCAGGTAAAAAGTAAACACCAAACAATATGCAACGTGTGAAAGAATAGAATGCCAGCCATGTTTTCCCATTGTCCCAAATTATTTCAGGCTTCTCTGGAACACTGTAAAAATGTATAACAGGGTTGAGGAACCTGTAGCCTCTGGATGTTGTTGGACTGCAGCTCCCATAATCTCTGATCATTGGCCATACTGGCTGAGGTACTGACAGAGCCCAGTAACATCTGGTGGGTCATAGGTTCTCCATCTCCATTTAGAAAAGATGCTTAGTTGCAACTTAGCAGTACAAGGTTTTGAATAAGAAGGTTCTGATTCACACATATATGTAGTTCTGCCTACAAGAAGCATTTATTTCCCCACAAACACTTTTTAAAAAAACAGAAACAAAGTCTTTCCTTTAAAATATCTATAAATATTTGCAAATGCCTATTGGCAGAGATTTGATTAAAATTTGATTAAGAAACATATAGCCCACTTTCAAAGGGAAACTCTACCCCAAGCTGTTTACAAATAAATATATGCCGCCACCCCACCCCCCACCCCCAAGGTACTATAATATGCAAAGCAATTAAAAGGAACGTTTCATTTTCTGGCACAAAACTCACAATAGCCCAGTATAATCAAAACACAGCACTACTTCAACACAGATTGCCCACTAAAAGCCAATGTAGAAAGATAGGTCTTTAAGGTCTTTCAGGTCTTTAAGGTCATCTTAAAAGTACCAAGGGATGGTAAAACTCTATGAAAGAATTGTTATGTTTTTTTGTTTTGCTTATTCTTCAGTTGCTTAGTTCTGAGTTCTCTTGACTTCCCACTGTAGTATACATTCGCCCCCAGTTTATGTCGGGGTGTGTGGGTGGAAGTAAGATGAGGGCATTTGACAAAGAGGGAAATATGTAAATTTCAAATTATTATGCAAATCAGGCGCAGCTGCCCCTGCATCCTTATTAAAGGCATGTGGTAATTGCACCAAGACTGCCAATTTCAGCAAAGCAACTAGCCAGCAATTCCGGAGAAGAACAGAGCACAGGCCGTTTTCTCATTCCTCCACACAAACACAGTTGTAAGAAAAGGAGCAAATCACGTTTAGGGCAGACCACTAGCAGCATTTGCTATGGATCTACAGCCAAAAGGCTTTCTGCATGCCAAACAATGGAGAGATTCAAGAGATATTGTTTTGAGGCAGACCTATCTTTTGCCTCGGAAAGGCCCCTATGAACACCCCAGACTCCCTTTAAGTTGGATTCTTTCCTAATTCCTAGGCCCACAGATTAAGACCTGGCGTGGCAACCGAAGCCTAGAGGAAATGCGCTGCATATTAAGCATCATGTGGGCATGTGAGCCCCGAGACCCTGGCATTGCCCCAGCAGAATCATATTCTCATTGCATTCCTTGGATTTCTCCCAGCCTCTGGTCTGAGAAAGTTGTGAGCCTTTGCACACTTCATTGTTCTGGTTTGGGTGTCGTCCCATGATCTGAGTGACCAGTGCATGTGCTTGTTGTATGTGCTCTCCCGAAAGGACAGCTGGGGAGGCTGAGGCGATCCTTATGGAATGTCCTTGTCCTCAGTGAACTGCCTTGAGAGCGGGCTAGCAACCTGGGTAAGGACTTGAGAGAAGGAAGCTCTCCAGGTGTGGTGTATAGTCCTCCAGCCAACGTCTTTCATAGAGAAAGAACTGGGCTGTTGCAGCTGAAAAGGATCCAAAAGCTGGAGGAATGAGAGTGTGCCAGATCCTCAAAGACCAACGAAGCATGCTTGGAGGCAAGTGGCACCCCCTAGAGGCCCCTGTCATTACCGAACATGTTGCATTTACGGGACGTTTGAACACAAGCATCTATTACTATTTATCTTTGCTTCTGTTCAGTTGGCTGAACTTTCATCATGCACATGAATGGCATATATCCAATATCAAATTTAAAAGGCAGGGGAGTGAATTATGAGTGGACTACCCTCATATAGAATCCCAAGAACTGATGCTGCACTTGAAAATACCCCTTTACAAAACAGGTAATTCGCACATGGGCAGTGGGCATAGAACAAATAATCTGCTTAATTTTCTCCTAGCAAAATGCCAACCCAATGGTGGAAAGGTATGTGGTTGTATATATGGATACCTGAAATACTATCTCTCCCCTTATATAGCAATCAAACCCTACTCTCTGATGGTGATAGCATCCCGCAGATACCATCTCAAAAGGAGGTCCATTCTGCAGAAGATAGGAATTAGACCTTAAGTTTTAAGGAACCCACCCTCTGGAATTTCCTGCTGTTAAATCCTAGATAGGCACTGTCTGGATTTTATTTTCAGTTCCTACTAAATGCCTTCTTCTTCCAACAAGTGTTTTAAGTAGATATCATTCCCTGTATGCACTTGCATTGGATCTTTAAAAATATGTTTTAATTGTTCTATCATTTGTTCATTTGCTGCCCTAGACTCCTTTGGGAAGAAGGGTGGGGTATAAATTTATGTGTTTTATCCACATATCCCCCTAATACAGACTTTTTTTTGTTAAAGAACTTCATTACCAAATTCCAGAGATGTGCAGATTTCAAAACTTTGAAGCTGCGTTTTGGTTCATGTATTGTTTTAGGAACTCAGAATTAGCCAGATGTAAATACAAATTCTTCCCCACCATGGTGACAACAGAGCTCTCTGTCCTGTTTCAGTCCATTATGAAAACAATTTGGTCTTCAAACTGTCATCACATTCTGGCCCTGAATTTTCTAATTACACTTAAAAAACAACCCAGATGTAGTCAAATAATTTGTGGTCATTGTTTTGGCATAGGACTGTAGAAAATGTACATTGCCTACCCACTCATACACATGCCTTTCATTAGAAGCATTGTTAGCAAAACTGATGGCATTCATGCCCCGATAACTTGTTCTTGTGAGTGAACCATAGCAGACAAAAGTGGATATGTTACAGGATTGTTTTGAATATGGTAGTCAACAAAAAAGCAACAGCAAATAAAGTTTTATAAGGCAACAGTAAAAAAAAAACACCTCTTATGTAACATTTATGATGTTTCCTAATAGAGAATTGCAAACTTTAACAAGGGATATTTTACTGTGCACATTTCTCCCTTGGTAAACCAAAGGGTGGCAAACGTACATTTTGCTAGTGATCTGGAGATATTGATCATTGACAGGTGGAGCAAGACACTCATTCAATGACTGGATCACTTTGCTGCTTCACTGACATTAATAGATGGGCCTTTTGAGCATGCTGACAGAAACCCAGGTGGCTGAAAGCCTCTGCACCCTTGCAGATGGATGCAGTGTTAGAAATAATGTCACCAGAACAGTGATTGACACCATCATTAGCATTTGTGACCCTCTATATGCATGCATGCCAATTTTAAGATATTGCTGCTTTTAGTTCAAGATGATCATTTGCTCTTCCATGGGCTTTTCAGTGACTCCATCAGATTGTACCACTAAAAGCTGATTTTTTAGTGATTCATCGTACAAACGATGAATACTCTGCAATCACTCCTGCACAATACAGCCTGTACTGGCTATGCTTCTCCATCCCTACTCCTTTATCTGTATTGCAGCAGCAAACTGCAAGCTGCAAGCAGGCTCAGGCACAGTATAAAGAGCGAGGACTGGATACACACACTGGATACACACTGAAAAGCAGGCTGCCTTTATACTTCAAGGCACCCCTGTACCTCAACATCAGTGAACAAAACCCTTCTCTCTCCTTCAAATCACATTCTCCCATTAGCTTGGTGAGGAATGTGTTTGGCATGAACACGGACCTGTAAGGTCCTTGAAGGTGTACATTGTGATCTGAGGGTTCTCAGCAGTCAGGAGCCATTGCCTTACTTGCTGCTCCAACAGAGTGAGCATACCAACTCGGCTGCAGTACCAGCCTGCCTCAGGAATAGTCAACTGACCTCACTAGCCAATCCTGGGTCACCATAGTCTATAAAGCCCTGGCCTCAGAATTTGTTCCTCATTCTCACCAATGAAAAAGCAGCAATACAGACTCAGTGTGCCTGGGCCAGACTGGCCCTGATTTGAGTAGAAGCAGCCATTTGTGGGGGTTCTGTTCATCCTTAGTATAAACTGGCCATCCTTAGTCAATAATAATGTGGTCAAATGTTCAACAAATCAACAAGCCCAGGACTTGAGCGTTAAGTGAATAAATCACACAACTTCTCCATTGCATACTAAAACTCAGTGAGCATTTTCTTAGTCCATTTACCCTTCTGTTGCAGTTGAGAGTATCTGGACACCACGTTGGGCTTTAGTTCTCCCTTCTCCTCGCCAGCGCACTTAGAAGCCCTTTATACAGCTAATGCTGTATAATGAGGGGTAACTACTCAACACACTAACTGCAACAAATAAAATTAAACAAGAATATACTATTATGATGAATACTGCAAAATCCTCTGAAGGCCAGGGTAGACTATGTATCAGGAAATACTCTGCTCTGATGACTTGCAACCACTTTTGTTGTTTAGTTGTTTAGTCATATCCAACTCTTTGTGACCCCATGGACCAGAGCATGCCAGGCACTCCTGTCTTCCACTGTCTCCCGCAGTTTGGTCAAACTCATGCTGGTAGCTTTGATTGCAACCACTATTTCTAACCATTCTGTGGGCTTCCAAAAGGGAACAGAGGAAGCTGACTTGGGTCAAACCTCTGGTCCCTGTACCCTAGTATTATCTACACTGACTGGGAGTAGCTCTCCAGATTTCAGGCAGCGGTTTCTTTCCCAACCCTACCTGGAGATGCTGGGGATTGGGACATTCTCTGTGCAAAGCATCATCTCTCAGGAATGCGAGTGGTTGTTGCTTCCTGCCTGGGCATATTCTCTGAGAGGGAGGAGCTGGAACATCTCTAGGGGTGTAACTTGGATAGTGTTTTCTGCAGCCTGCATTGTGGTGGTTCCTTAGGAGAGCAGTGGAGCATCTCCCACAAGAACAAGTTGTGTCCGATTGTGACAGATAATTCCTGTTAGAACTGCAATCAAATAGGATCAAGGAGTCTCTGCATTCTCCTGTACTGGCACATTTTCATAGGACTCCTTTGTGCAGAGCAGGTCTTCTGGTTTCATGAGTTTAGCATTATGCCATTTGCCACAGACGTTCTTCCGGCAAGCTTTATAATAGGCATCCTGTTCTGCGAAGCTGTGGAAATCAGACCAAGATGGAGTTAGTTAGGTGGCAAATGCTGGAATCTTGGAATGGAACTTCCATCCTAGGAACAACTGGGCTGAAGCCTTTTGCCAAAGGTGTTGGCTGCTATGTCAATAGGACAAGGTAGAGGATGGATGATTTCAACCACAGGTGTTTTTTAGTCAGGACAACATGTTCTATTTCACTGTCGCTCTGGAGAAACAACAGACTTGGAGGTAAGAAGGGTTGAAATCTATAAGCCTCTGCAAATTTTCATATTAGGGATGGGGAGAAATTTGATTCAATTTGCACTTACAAGTCAAGCTTTCGAAATTCTCAGTTTCCTAAACAATATGAGAATCCAAACACACCCATCTTTTGAAAATCAGTTTTCTGAATTTTACGACACAGTTCTCCAACCAAACAATATTCATGGAAGTGTTTATATTACGGAGCAGTTTGCATAAAAAGGAATATATGTGTAAAATATATTAGGGGAAATAACTTTTGCAAAAATGTGTTCATTAGTCAAAACTGTATATAAAAATGTTTTTATGAGGAGAAATTTGCCTTAAACACTGAGCAATTTTCATGAGGAATTCTTGTTTTAATTGAAATTGCTGCAGAAATGTGGAGAACTGAATTTAAGACTGGAAACATGAGGAAACAGAGAGAACCAAACTGACAGATTCTTTCATTGCTAAATCAGATGAAAACTGCAGCCTATTATTAGAGATTATTTTCTCAGGAATCCCAAAGTGGGGGGAGATGGGCTTCATTTTATTGACAACTGATCCTGATACAGTATTGGTTACCTGAGCAACTTGGACACGGGTGGCGCTGTGGTCTAAACCACTGAGCCTCTTGGGCTTGCCAATCAGAAGGTTGACGGTTCGAATCCCCTCAATGGAGTGAGCTCCCGTTGCTAGGTCCAAGCTCCTGCCAACCTACCAGTTCGAAAGCACCCCAAAAAGTGCAAGTAGATAAATAGATACCGCTCCGGTGGAAAGATAAACAGCATTTCCGTGCACTGCTCTGGTTTCGGTGTTCCGTTGCGCCAGAAGTGGCTTAGTCATGCTGGCCACATGACCCGGAAAAACTGTCTGTGGAGCGGACAAATGCCGGCTCCCTCGGCCAGTAAAGCGAGATGAGCGGTGCAACCCCAGAGTCATCTGCGACTGGACTTAACTGTCAGGGGTCCTTTACCTCAGCAACTTGGAGGTGCTTCCCATATAAAAGAGATCAGTCCCAAGTTTTTGCTAATGATGACTTGGGAGCCTTAAGTGCTTCTGGTGGGCTGGTTTGCATGCAGGCATATATATCACACCTGAACAGGGAGCTGTGCACCTGTGTGTGTGTCCTCTATGTGTATGCATGTGACATTACATGTGAGTGGGACTGCTCTCAGTCTTTCTCTTTACAGAGGGCTTTCTCAGTCACTTTCCCCATCACGCCACCTGAAAAAACTGCCCAGTTTAGCACCCATCAGGCACAGAGGTTGCTGCCAGAAAGAGATATTGTTCCTCCCTCTGTATGGGGAAGGGCAGTAGCTCAGTGGTACAGCATCTGCTTTGCATGCAGACGGTCCCTGGTTCAATCCCTGACATCTCGGGGGGGGGGAGTTTATGCTTTATTGAGATTAAAAAGAAATAACAAACATAAGAATTATCCAGAAGAAAGAAAAGAAAATGGTAATATTTGTTATTCCACATCACAATAAGTTCTTCTTGAGTTTCTAAAGGCTTTCCACCACCCCATCATGCATCTACCACTTAGTCTATCTAGTCTTTTGTTAATTTTCATCAATATTATATTCTCTTATAATTATCCATCATACCACAGAAGTCATTCAAGGCCTGCCACTGACATCATATTGTTACAGTAGTCCTTAAGATATTTTTTGTACATGTCCCATTTCCTAATAAATGTTTGATCAGTATGACCTCTCAGTTTTTCTGTCATTTTTGCCAACTTGGCGTATTCCAACAGTTTACTTTGCCACTCCACCTTTGTCAGAATTCTCTCCCCTTTCCGGTTCATAGCGATTAATATTCATGCAGCTACCGTGGCATACAATAATATTTCACTCGCACTTTTTGGTATGTCTGGACCTAATATCCCCATGAGGAAAGCCTCCGGTTTTTTTATGAAGGATACTTTGATCATTCTTTTGAGCTCATTATAAATTACATCCCAAAATTCCTTTATTTTCTTACAGATCCACCACATAATGTAAAATTGAGCCTTCCGCTTCCTTGACATCTCTGGATAGGGCTGGGAATATCCTTTGTCTGAAGCCCTGGAGAGTCCTTGCCAGTCAGTGTATACAATACTATGTGAAATGGAGTAATGGTATGATTTAGGATGTGTCAGCTTCCTGTGTTCCTATGGAAGCAGAAACAGCTCTCCTCCTACTGGGAAAATGTCTGAAGCTTTCCTATTTTATATGCACACAGGAAGCCATGATTAAAGTGTTTATAAAGTTTGCATTTTCTGTTCTCTCATTGCTGCCAGTAGTTCAGCAAAGATGCCACACAAACCCCTTAATTAATATCTGGGTATCTTTTTCCTGATGGTGTCAGTGCAAGTAATTCCCACGGTCCCACGCTGACACTTGAACGACAAATGGTCCAAACTCACAGCAATGTTAACATACAACAATTCCAGCTTCTGGGAAGGAAAAGTTTCCCATTTCAAGTGTGGCAAAATCCATTTGTCTCTAATTAGAAAAAGCAGAACCCACATGGCAGTAACCAATGTGCCAAGACAACTCATGAAAAATGGAGAAACATCAAAAAGGCAACAGAGTTGCATTTAAACTGATTTTTCTGGGGGAAAGCTGAGAAGAACTGGGGCGAAGCCAGTCTGGAGCAGCCAAAACAGTCTTGGGAACAGTCGCATATGAAAATGACATTTGGAGAGGTGTGTCTATGCTTATGCAAGAAGCCTCCAAGCCAAGATAAGCTCTGAAAGCAAAGCAAAGGCAACAAGGCACAGTCTTCAGATCCCTGGAGGAAAGGTAAATACAATGAGCACAAATTCATGCACATCTGGTCAGAGGGAAACCTTTACACAGATGCAGTCTGAATTGACTAACCAGGAAAGAGATCTTGGTGTTTATGGTGGATAGCCTCTTTTTTATTATTTTTTTATTTTGTAGAAGTGCATTATAAGATTGAACAGAATACCACAGAACAAATGTACATAGTAACCAAAAGAATCAAGTAGGAAAAGATAGCTGGTGGATAGCTGAATGAAAGCATCAACTCAGTATGCAACACTGAGGGTTGGGGGCAGGAATTTCTGTGCTATAGATTATTTCAGAAAAGGACTAGATACAGAATAGGCATTATCATAATGCCTGTATGTCTGAAATTGAAACTGAGTTTCCCATAGGCGTCCAGTTGGCTGCTGTGAGAACAGGATGCTGGACTAGATAGGCCATTGGCCTGATCCAGCAGTCTCTTCTTCTTAAGAAATGCCGTGTACTGTTCTACTTATCCCACTTAAAAGGATGTCAGAGCTGTAAATTGTGAAGAGAAGGGGAACCACAATGGTGCAGCAGTTTGGACACTTTCCCCAGGTCATAAGGCTGAAATGTTTAGTGTTAGGTGACTCAGAAAAAAAAGACAATGCATGGAGAGAATTCTCTCTTTCTTTGATAATACTTGAGGCCCTCTAATAAACCTTATTGGCAATAGTTTGAGGACAGATCCGCCTTCTCAAGTATTCTATCACGAAACTCATAATTAACCTGTGGAATGCTTGGTCTTTAGATATGGTGGCGGCCTCTGATTAAAATGGCTTTTGATAGGGATTAAATCAGGGATGGTGAACTTTATGGACTATAATTCCCATCACCCCTGACTGTCGGCCATGTTTGCTGGGACGGAGAGGAGTTGGGAGTCAAATCGCACGTGGAAGGCCATGGTTTCCCCTCCCCTGTGTTAGGCAAACCCATGGAGGTTAGGTTTATTAGTGGCTATTAGCCACAATACCTAACTGGAACCTCTGTGTTCAGATGCAACGTATCACCAAATAGTTGTTGATGGGGGAGGGGTCATCACTGCAGAAGGTTTTTGCCATGCTATTGTTCTTGTGAGCTTTCAGGAAGCCACTGAGGGAAAGAGTGATCCATAAAGGCATTCATCCTAGTATTCCTAAATGAACTTCATAAGAGACTTTGCAGGGCTTTTTTCAGCTAGAAATCACATCAGAACTCAGTTCCAGCACCTCTCAGGTGGGCACCATTGCCATTATAAGAGAAGAAGGGAAGCGTTCGTGGTGAGTTCCAGCACCTCTTTTTCTGGAAACATAACACTGGTCAAAAGTAATAAAATAACCACACGAGGAGCTACAAATTAACGTGTGAGGCATCCCTTATAAACCTCCTTTTTCATACACCTTGGCTTGAGGTGACAAAAAAGGAAGTGCTGCTTTTAAAGAGAAACAGACAGAAAAGAGAGAGAGAAATGAAACAAAAGAAAAAGGAGGAAGGTTTAAGCTTTTGTTTTTTGAAAAATGGGGGTAGCTCATAATGCATCACCATGTTTACAGACTGGAACATTACTGCAAGCAGAAGGACTGTGGCTGCCAGATTTGATGCCAACAAGACTTCTAGAGATAATGAATCTAGTTCCACTGCAGTACAGGCTCTTTTGTGAAGACCCTTCGGGGGGCATGAAATTGGTGTCTAGAATAGAGGAGGTCATAAAGCAGATTTAGTATATATAGCAGGCTGCCTATGGGAGGTCTGAATAAAATAGGTTAAACCGTATTCATTTTCTTTGATTAATGCTCACATTCAAATTTGCACCTCTTTGAAAACTTGGACAAGTTTTTGACATAGATTAATTTCTTCGGTTTGCATTTTAATTAAAGTTAAACATCCGTTTCAATGGGCTTAATTAGTTTGACTAATTTGCTTAGAACAGAGTCAAGCCAAGCTGAAGCTCTGCTTGGATCAGAAAGCAATGTGACACCTCTGCCTTATTTGGTAGTCCATTCCATTGCTTTCAGTGAGACTTCCACTGTTTTCAGTGAGATTTACTTGCAAGGAAGTAAATGTATTTGGATTGCGGTGCCACTCTGTGCAGTCAAAGAATCACTCCCATTGGCTTCACTAAACTCAGGGTCAATTCACAGAGCTGTCAGGCCACTTAAAAATAGATTTATGTGTGCCGGTGCATGCTGGCTGACTGCAAACACCACCCCTCACAACATTACAATTTTTAGGTGCCCTGGCAGTTGCATTAAAATGATGTCTGCCAGCACATGTAAGCATTGCTGTCAACCACAAATTGAAATATCTTCTTGGGCAAGCACTCTTCATTTTTTTTATAAGCTTTTGTGGTAGCCCCACTGAGGCCACTGTCCCTTAGGGAAAGAAACACAAAAACTCCAGCCACATGTTGAATTTCTGCCTCACAGGCAGCTATTAAAGGCACAGGTACCTTTCAACAAATGAGTTTTTAAATGGAGTCAGGGGAAATCTAAGAGAGAAAGAAATCTAGGAGAATGACTGCAGGACAAGCAGGATAATTGTCAGCCCTGGGCATAGTACCTCTGAGCATGTGCAGAGTGTGTTGTTTTCCATGAATAACAGCAGGAAACAGGAACTCTGGGACTGCGGGCCATGACTAACTTGTGTATGAGCCGTTGTTTCCTGAATATTCCTAATAGGATGCATGTTAACAGCTCGTATCTGTATATCCACTGTTTGCAGTTTATTTGTGGGGGAGGGGGAATTACCTTATGGCCAGTCACAATCATTTGACCTGCGGATATGACTGTTTGAAAGCCTTTCACTAGCCAGGCAAAAAGGCGCTGTAGTTTAAAGAAGAATTATTTGGAACAAGACTAGATTTCCTCATATCACTGACAGAGGCATCATCACATGGCCTTTGAATGTCTATCTTTCACACGGATTTTGTTGGGTGGGGAAATAGTCAAAGGCTTCAAAATAACCAACATTCGGCATAAATTTGGTGAATGGTTGGAGGAAAGTACACCATGTGAATGGGCCGTGTCAAAGTGATAGGGCCTGCTCCTCTACTCTGCACCCTTCCCTCCACTTTTGGAGACATTACCTCACTAAGCTTCATCAGAAGCCCAGACATACACCTGACAGAAACATAAATTGTTCTTTTTGAGGAAAAAGGGCCCTTTATTTCGCCGAAAACGACTTGACTGTTAAATGGTGATGTCTGCTGATTTTCCACACATCACTCTGGTTTCTCAACACTGCCTCTTTACTCTAAGGTCTGTCCCGAAGTATCCCATTCCCCCACCCACATTTTATTTTCTCTACCCTACTCCTTCTTGAAGCATTCTCATGTTTTTCCCAACACAGTTATTTTTCTCTGTGGTACTGTCTGTCTAAGCATTCCCATGATTTCTCCAAATGGTCACTTTTCTGCATGCATTCTGTCTCACACTTTCCCAAATTTCGCGATGCAGTTCTCCAGCCACTTAATGTGTACAAAAACGAAGTAAAGTGTGCATAAGACTTCATGTATCAGTTAAGACAGCATACAAAAATGCAACGTATTAGGGGAAATCACTTTGCCAAAATACGTATCTTGGGCAAACCTGCATATAAATGTATGTATATTAGGAGGAATTTAAGTAAAGAAAGATGTAATTAAAGCTACAGTCCAACACACTAGGAATAGACAATGTGGTGCGCGCCACATATTTTTGGCCTACAAGTCTCATCATCCTTGACCATTGCTTATGCTAGCGAGGGCTGATGGGAGTTGTAGCACAACATCTGGAGGGCAATACATTGGCTATCCTGGCTAAACACCTTTATCTTAGAGGAAACCCCATTGAACTCAATGGAGCTTACATTTGAGTGAACAGAAGTCGGGCAGTTAAGGTACCCAGTCCTATGCTTTGGAATAGTCTTCCAGGAGAGATTGGGCAGAGCATCCTTGCTTTTGACTTTCAGGCATCTCTGAGAAAACATCCCCCCCCCCATTAACAGGCCTTTGCAGCTGTTTAATCTTTTATTTTTAATTAGAAGTCTTAACAATTATTTGTACTTTTATTTTGAAAATGGTGGGGGGTTTTGTATTCATTTTGTATGCTGCCATGATATTATATATGGCGACATAGAAAAACTTGTACAAATAAAAAATTTATATGGCTCTTTCCTAGGCAGTTTTGAATTTTCACAGGCATTCTGCTCTCATTTACAGTACAGACTAACAGTTGGTACATTCATACATTACATTCATACATTCGAAAGCTTCACATGAAGAAGGAACTGGGTGATCCAGAACCTTAGGGAATACTGCCACAGTTACCCAGAAGTAACTTCCATGATCATAGCGGCCATCAAAATGGAAATAGCTGCTAGGAAGTTGTGGTTGTGTCCATGGATAGCTCAGGACACAATATTACCTTCTCCAAAGAAAATGCAGAGTAAATTGTGTCAGTAAGGCTGCAATCCTGTTCCCACTGACTTGGGAGTAATCTCCACTCAGCTCAGTAGGACTTCTGTCTGAAATGCCATGCATAAGAATGTTCTCTAAACTTTTTATGGGTTTGAGCCAATCTACCAGATATGCTCAGATCTTACCTGGGTAGGTTTCCATTTGAAAATTGCCCATGCACACATTCTTGAAGCTTTGTGATAGCTTGGGGTACAGAAGAAAAAACTAAATTTAACTGGGCTGGATATTCCAGTTACTTTTTCTAAATGTAGAAGTTATTTAAACCATGAAGGCGTGCTGGCTGGAATGCAGTTTACAATGGTACTGAGGCTTTGGTAGATTGTAAATACCTATCATATTGTGCTGCTTTGTTTAAGTGTTTGGGATAGCAAATAAACCAGGCGGCTTTATGTATAGAATAGCCTCGTGAATTTCCTCAGGTAAATTAACTAGGCTGCTTTTTTATGGGAAGATTCTCAGTTATCTATTTGGGCATACCTGAAAGAAGGCTTGAAGATATATGGACCTGTGTTACATCTGTACTTCAAAGAAGAGCATCAGGATGGGATTCTCTTTGTAGCCTAAGCATATATTTACTCTCGCTTCAGTTGGTCCAATGCATGCTATAGTTGTGATTCAGAAGAAGAGAATGAGCAAAAAGAAAAATGGCCACGATAGCAAGCGACAAGGGCCTTGCTCTTATTTAGCCTCCCGCCACCAACAACACTGTCATTTTAGTGAGACAATATATAACATACATGTTTTATATATGCTGTAAGCTGCCCAGAGTGGCTGGGAAAACCCAGCCAGATGGGTGGGGTATAAATAAAAAAGTTGTTGTTGTGGATCCTGAGAGCTCCATCAAATTCCTCGTGAAATCAGGTGGGGAAAAGTGAAGACCAATTCTTGTTAGATGTACTGATGTTCTTATTAACCCGAGTAGAAAGACATTCTCTTCCAGACACAAAGTATGAGATTAGAAGAAAGGAACATGAGATTAGAAGAGAACAAGCAAGCCCAGGGACTTAACATGTCTAGGTCACCTTTTGTGGATGTAGGGTCCCACTGGCCTGACGTATTATTTTGACTGACTATCTCTTCAAGAAACAAGGATTTCCTGTCATTGCTATGCAATGTAACTGTGGAGAGTTTTGGATTTGTCTCCACAGCAAGCATATATATATATATATATATATATATATATATATCAGTAGCAGTTGGTAGGGTGGCACAGGTAGGGTGGCATTGCTCACTTGCCTTCTAAACACCAAGCATCGCTGCCAGTTCCTGAGAGGGGCAGGAAGCTCAGCATGGTGTGGTGGTAGTGCCAATCTGACACTGCTGCCATCTCGCTCACACAATGGCCACACTCCAGAGTGTGCCTCACCCCTCTCTCTCAAGAAGCAGCAGGACCATTTGTGAGCAACACCACCCTACCTGTGCCACCCCACCAACTGCTATTAGACAGCCTACAAAGTATTTCTTCACACATAACATGGAAAACTATGGAATTCTCTGCCACAAGAGGTAGTTAAGGCCACTAACTTAAATGGCTTTAAAATGGGTTTCATGGAAGATATCAATGGCTACTGGGCACAAAGGTTACTTTTGAATCTACTGTTATGGGGGGGGGAACCTGCTCCTTTCAACTTCCAAGAGCCCATATAGAATCCTTAAGTGGGTTCCCTATTGGTAGGAGAAAATAACAGAGGCCAACCAGAGTATACTGAGAAGCAAAGCAGCTAGTAAGCCTGAACTTTATTAACTGTTGCAACAAGGTCCCCACTCACCACACACAGGAGGGAAGAGAGAAACCAGAACAATGGTGCGCAAGCCCTTATATATACTTTTGAAACTGCCCACCCTGTAGCTCAAGACCACCCCCCAAAACATCATACATACATCACAGAAGGAGGCGGTCTACAGCAGAAATCCTGTCTGCCAGGATATGCTGATAATGGTCACTGATTGCTTTACCTGGGCAGCCTAGCCATTCTTTTGTGATGGTAAATAGTTTGGTTCCTGAATCCAGGTCAGACATGTGGTTTATATAGTTATGTATGTGTTTGCCTTGTACATTTATGAACATTTAATTTTTTATTTGAGACCTTAGAATTCTTATAACACCACTATTGGAGGAAGTATGCTTCTGAATACCAGTTGCTGGAAATCACAACTGAGAAGTGCACTGTTATATTCAGGTTCTGCTGGCTGGATTCCTATAGGCATCTGGGCGGCCCACTGTGAGAAGAGGACACTGGACCAGATGGGCCTTTGGTCTAATCCATCTGGGCTTTTCTTGCATTCTTATAGTCATGCCCCATCAAGTAGTTCAGGGAAACATCTTCAGAATAAACTTCCTTTGAAGGCAACACTGAAGTTTTGATGGTGCTTTTTTTTAAATCGCAGGAAGCAAAAGACTTTGCATCAAATCTAGAATCTATGTTTTGGATATACAACTAGATCTAGTGGCAGTACATTCCCTTAAATATCCATTGTGGCTTTAATACATAAAGCCCACAATCCTACAAAAGTTAGGCAAGATTAAGCTAGCTGAAAGCAGTAGGCTTAAGAGCACCTTACTCTGTTGGACTGTGGCCCAAAACTGTGCCATCTGGAAGATTGTTCACCAGAGTGCAGAGCTTGGAATCATCAGACGGCATCTCTTTGATTTTTGAAGTTGTGTTGTGCTTGAAGACTAGTTTTTGTGGTGCTCCTAAATGCTACAGGCCAGTCAGGGACAAGTTGCCATTGGGAAACAATTTCTGGCAACATCGCTGTGATGTGTGAGTTGACCCTGAGTCTTGGGCCAGGCCACAAAACTCTTGTGCCCCTTCTCTTTCAAACAGCACCATATATTTTTATTTGTCTAGCTCACAAACCTTTGAATCCTGGGCAAACTTGATGTGAGGAAGTGGGGATGTTATACTTAGAAATGACGCCAATTAACCATTGCTATTTATTACTTTCTTCCAGAGTTCAGCCAGGTTAGGCAAAGAACAAGGAATAGGTCACCTAGTGTTTACCTTGGTATTTTGAAGAGCAGGCCAGACACTTATTTTTCACCACTATTTCTTTAATGGATCCAAGTATAAACAACTCTTAAAACGTTGCTTCTTTAAGTCGGGGGTTATTTGAAGACAGGAATGGTCATTGTTGACCCAAGGGAAAGCAAAGAGGTGGTGTCAGGATGCAATGCAAATTCTTCTGTATGGTGGTAGAATCATTATTAGATAATATACTAGCTCATGGAAAAGTTCTGGAATTTTGGGGATACTTTCAAAATGCATGATGTGATTAGAGCCGGACCAAATGACTGCATATGTCCAACTAAGTTGGCAAATTTTCAGCCTGGGGATTTTCAGATCTCCAAGAATGGATTAAGTGTTGTTTTATTTATTTACTGACATCCTTCATCCTCCCTTGAAGGATTTGTCTGCACAACAACGTAGCAGACACACAGCCTTGGTGATGATTATGGTCACCTGAGATGGCACCACAGCTAAACACCAAGAATTTGCAGTGTGTTGCTTCCAGTACAAGAGGTAACAGGATTTCAGCTAAACAAGATCAAAAACCTGAAATTGCCTATGAGAGACCAGACATAAAAGGTGATTAATCTAAAGGTCAGACAATGCGGAACATGCCAAAACTGTAAGCTTAAGAAGTAAAAAGACTGCCAGACATGTTCACATCTGCTGTTAGATTCATAAGCAATTAGCAGCTCAAGCAACATGTTCCTTAAATAGTCAGAATGGGCATGCATACGAATGTGGTGCAGAGAGTTCAAAGATTTGCATCCATGCATTAGACCTCAGCTCTAGCAGAGCAGCTCTTTGACCCATCAAAACAATTCACTCTAAAAGCATCACCTCACTGAACAGGTGGTTCTGTCAGGCACAGTAGCAGAAGAGGAAGAAATAAAAGGGAAAGCACAACCATGCTCTTATGTCATTGGAATGCATTGGAATCCCAGCGGATTCTTCCCCGACCATATTCATCAGTTAAATATGTTAGGTTCTGCAGGCAATATAGTGGATTCAGTTATTACTACCTGGGATGCAGTTAGGGATGTCAGAGGAATCAGTTGAGAATGGACCATCACGAGGACTTCCTTCCATCCATATGTTTGACACACACGTCCCGCCCCCATCATGACACGGACCTTCTTTCAGTGAATGACTTTCGCCTTACGTTATTATGTTTAGATACAATCCATGTCTCTGACTGAACCCATATGTGCCCTACAAAGTGCTGTTTTTAATCACTTAGGAATCTCCTCCCACTTCTTACTATACCATTGTCCATACGTTAATGTTTTAAGAAGGCTGATCGCCGAAGAATTGATGCTTTTGAATTATGGTGCTGGAGGAGTCCCATGGACTGCAAGAAGATCAAACCTATGCATTCTGAAGGAAATCAGCCCTGAGTGCTCACTGGAAGGACAGATCGTGAAGCTGAGGCTCCAATACTTTGGCCACCTCATGAGAAGAGAAGACTCCCTGGAAAAGACCCTGATGTTGGGAATAATTGAGGGCACAAGGAGAAGGGGACGACAGAGGATGAGATGGCTGGACAGTGTTCTCGAAGCTACCAGCATGAGTTTGACCAAACTGCAGGAGGCAGTGGAAGACAGGAGTGCCTGGCGTGCTCTGGTCCATGGGGTCACGAAGAGTCGGATACGACTAAACGACTAAACAACAACAACAACAGACATAGAGACAGTCCAGTGTGACATGTCAGTGACAATCTGCCAGTGTGGGTGGCTGGGTGGGTACAACCACTTCTCTGTCCTCCCTGGACACTGACAAGGACATAGGAAAGCCATGACAATTTCACTGAAACCTTGTGATTATTGCTTAATTACAGATATTTTGTGCACCAGCATTGGTGGACGCACATGAAGAAGATAAAATAACATCCTATTGAAATTGATAAGCACACACCCCATCTTATTAATTTCACCAAAGATGTCCCTACCCTCAGAGGGATGTGTATATGAATGTACCAGCCATACCATAGATACTCACAGTCAAGGGTATGAAGGAGGAATCAAGTAAGCAAAAGTGAGTGAGCAAAAAGATACTTGCAGAATCTGAAATATGAGCAACAGCATTAAATAGGTTAAAATGGATATATTGAATAGTATATGAGAAATATGCAGCATTCAAGTGTAAACAGGGAAACCATGGAAGGGGTGGATGGATGGATAAGTCAGTCAGCCAGTCAGTTTTATTGCACATAGCCAAAGGCTGTCGCAATGTACACAGAATTATTTGACAATTAAAAGGATGGATGGATAAAGTAATTTACAATTTATGTTAAAATCTGTAAAGTTTTTTGTGTGAAAAATCAATAAATAAGGTTTAAAGATACCGAAAGTGATATGTGGGGGGAAATTGTAACTAGAGAAGTAAAAATGTGATTCAGATAAAACCCCTCTGTTTACAGATGACACACAAGACTCTGGAAGCTGCGACTGTACATCCAGCTCCCTGCACAGGCACCAGCCATTTAAAAAATATAAAGGATACAAGCACATTTCAAGCTGCCTTTCACACATGCATGCCACTCTAAGTGGCATGTGCGGATTCTGTCTCTGACTCGAGAAAAGTATTTTGTGCAAGACAATTGCATGCCAGCCAGGACATGGTTTTGTAATGGCAGACCTGCTGTCAGGGGCACATGCTCCACTTGTCAGCATTCAGCACAGTCATGTGGAACAAGCAGCAACAGTTCATGCGGACATGATGGAAGCCTTGTGTGCTTCATCTCCCAAGACAGACAGAAACAGTCAAGCACAAAAAGGTACACGCTCAGAGACAAGATATGAATTGGTGCTATGCCTGCTCACAGTGCCTCTCTGTTGCAGTTTGTTTCTTTGTGGTTTATTTTGATCTGTCCCCTGGTTGTCTTTCATGTCTTGGGTTCATCTTTGTGCATTTGCACTGCATATACAGTGATACCTCGGGTTAAGAACTTAATTCATTCCGGAGGTCCCTTCTTAACCTGAAACTGTTCTTAACCTGAAGCACCACTTTAGCTAATGGGGCCTCCCGCTGCCACCACGCCGCAATTTCTGTTCTCATCCTGAAGCAAAGTTCTTAACCCAAGGTGCTATTTCTGGGTTAGCAGAGTCTGTAACCGGAAGCATCTGTAACCTGAAGCATCTGTAACCCGAGGTACCACTGTTTACAAGAACCCAAAAAGCCTGTTCACTAAGAACAGTGGGTGGCATTATGATCCCCAAACTAGAACCGTATTTGGGAATATGACCAGGGTGAGGTGCAGACCCATGAGCTCATCCTATTTATTCTAGGACATAACCCAGGAAAGACAGTTGAGTCCTAAAGAAAATCACTAAAATTCACAGCTAGTCTGCACAAATGGAAAGTTGTGTGATAAAACTGCTCATAGACTGAACCACTTCAATCTGCGGGTGAGGGATTATCAATAGACAAATATTGATCTATGATCTGTCTGTCTAAGTCCCTGCACATAAAAATAAGGAAGAAGGGCTCTAGCCTAAATTTTCTCCTGACATATTCATTTTCGACATGTACAGGTGGAAAATTTCCTCCACAGAAGAGCATTAAGGCAAATGATTTCACACCTGCAGTCTGAAGCGGTACCATCCAGAAACAGTTGTACTGCGTGATATGGGTTGCCCCAGCCACTCTGGGCAGCTTCCAACAAAAATAAAAGCATAATAAAACACCAAATATTTAAAAAGGCAACAGGGTTTAGTGAGCAGGAGGAGGCTGTGGCAGAGGGCAGTCCAGATTCAGAGGCAGGAGAGGAAGGGAGCCAGGAGACAGAGATGAGGCAGGTTGCTGAAGAATCCAGGGAGTCTCCCCCTCCTGCTGTGACCCTCCCCACTGGTCTCCCAGAACATGCAGAGAAATGAAGATGGAGGAACAAGAGACAAGAGGACAGAGCCTTTGGCTGCTGTGGAAGGAACCAGGGGAGGCACCTTAGAGAGCGGTCCTCACAACTGCTTCATTGGGGCAAGACTTACTGGGAAAGGTTGCTGTGACCACTAGGGCTGAGCTGATTTGCTGCTTTGAATAAAGAGTTAACTTCACTGACATCAGGTGCTTTATTGCTTTATTGTCTGACTTCAGCTCCTGACGGCTGGACAGAGTCACAGCAACAGCTTCTCGGCAGCGGAAGCTCTACCACTTATCAGGAATGGCGAGGGGCAAGGTGGCATTTAGGCTGGGATTTTGTGGGTGCATCAGTGGGAACACCAAGATTAACTTTGCCTGTGCATCCACACGGTCCTGAACTCGGTGTCGCCTCATCCCTCTGCCACCGAAAGCCTGTTGCTGTGAGCCCTGCTGCTCTGGTTACCAGTTGCTGTTCTCATTACTTGCTTAGGGGCTTCCCATAGACAGCTGCTCAGTAGCTCTGGGAACAGAAAGCTGGACTAGAAGGGCCTCTGGTTTTATCTAGCAGGGTTCTTATGTTTTCAAAAAGTTTGTGAAAGGGGCGGTGTCCCTACCAGTAATACAACACAATACCAATCAGTCATGAGAAATTGAATAGCGGCTCATGAGCCCCTCCCTTCAAAAGCCGTTATTGTCACTCTTTTTCTTCCTTTTCTTCTGACCTCATTCCTCCATGCTAATCTTTTTCTGAACTTAGCACAATATCTTGCTTTGTATCCCAGAATGCAAAAGATTATTTATTGCTTCCTTGCTTCATTGTTCGGGTGGGAAGTACCCAGCATTATGGGTGGAAACCCTTGATAAAAAATACAGATATTCCCCCTGTTTTGTTTTGCTGTGTTATTTGATGGAGATAATCATCAAATCAACAGCTTATAATTGTTTCTTCTTCTTCAACACTCCTTTGATAAGTATAGTTCTGTCTTTACTTTTCTCTCTGCCTTAATGATTCACCAGGCGTGTTTAGTGAATTAGTTGTTCCTTAGAGCTATGGATATTGCCTAACAAAAGTAAGTAAATTCTCCTAGGTTGGAAATAGACCTGCACCTTCAATAGATAATCTGGGCATCAAGGAGATTTCACCCGTCTGTCCTGAGTTATTATTTCCTTTTCCAGTGATCATGGATTTGAGCTGTAGCCAGTTTTCTTTCATTCAGATCTTTATTTCAATCATCTTCGTTGCTGGCTGTTATTCTAAAAAGGATGGGAAAATTATATGTTTATTCTTGCTCAATCTTGCCCTCCTGCTGGGAAGAAGAGGACACAAACTGATCTTTCCCCCTTTTTCGTGCTTCCCTTCCCTTCTCACTGGTGGCAGGAAGTGCTAAAGTCATAAATCAGGTACCTTTATCTATGAACAATTCAAATTGCCCCATTATGTTAAGGTGAGTAGTTTGCATAGATAGTTGCTTCCAGAAGAGCGGGTGAAGAAAAGCAAACATAGAACACCATGCCCTTTATTTCAGGGAAATACCCTGTTGAAGAAATCAACCCCAGAACAGTGGGTCTCATATTATGGAAGTGGACGCAGAATTCTTGTTCAGTAGCTCACTGCCAGTGACACAACGCTGAAGGCAAGACTGCACCCCATGATCCATGATCAGAGGAGACATCTGGATTCAAGGACCCAGCTGGCAGATGCATTTGAAACAAAGGATGGAGACCAACATACATTTGAACTGTGGTAGAAGTGGCTTGGATAGACACTCTCTGCCCTGAAAGCAAATACATTGGGATGCAGTAGGTGGGTGTCCAAACCACTTCTAGCATCCTTTTAATGTGTGTATGTGTGCCTGTCATCATCCCAAAAGAAAATTCATTTATGGGTTCTCAGTTCTTACTTTATCTATGTAATTGGCTATCTAGGCATACAAAAATGCAGTATAAAACGCACACAAGCTGCATCAAATGTGAAGTGCTCATTCATGTTTTGTTGAGAGCATAAGAGCCCTGCTGGATCATCAGTCAGCAAGAGCCTTCTCCTGCTGCTGTTCCCCAGATGGTCCTTGTCCTTCTCAAATGTAACTGAGCAGCATCTGATCCTTTCCCAATTGTAGTGCATATTTTAAAGGGATAATTGCTGAAAACAGGGCTTGCACCCGTTTCATTTCTCCGATACCGTGCATGTATTTTATACTTGAATGTGTGTTGCTGAATATATATATATATATTTTAAAAATGAAGTGAGAACTAGCCCCCTGTGAATCAGATAATTCAGAAGACTTCTTTACTAATAGGCATCAGGTGTAGCTGTAAAGAACTACATTCCATGCTTGTGCCAAAACATCCATTATTTATTCTTAGCAAGCTAAGCTAGAAGGTGCTCAATCTTTGGTAGCCCCAGTGAAAGTGGGCATGTTTCTCAGGTAGTAATGCGATCCACTAGCCTATAACTCTTCAGTGTTTCATTCTCAAACAACAACAACAAAAACCCCAGGTAGGTCACTTCTGTCTGATAAAATCCTATCCTATATGCATTGCTTTAAATTAAGAAAGAAAACGAAACCTTGGCAAAGTAAATTCTGTACTCGACAGAAGAAATCAAGTTATCCCCTGCACATTGCTGAACTGAAATGACTAAGCCAAGAGCCTTCCAGGTGCCAGCTTAAGTTATATTTCATCATGTTCATATATAATGCGATTAGGGAGATGAGGTTAGTGGATTAGATGCCATGAAAGCCCTCGTTGAGGCTCAGAGTGCCCACACAAGCCTTGAACTGAAGTACGGTTTGCTGAAGTCAGGCGAGGTGTTAGGGCTTCAGTTTCACATGCCCAGAAGAATTGATTACATTTGGGCACCAGCTCTGAGGTATTTTTGGCAGAACACAAACAGAGCTTGCCCAAAGTGCTATCCACTATTTCTTGTTAGGATGATCAAAAAATAATAATCATTCACTGAGGTAAAACCAAAGTCTGGGTTACAGTACTCATATATTAAAGGACTAAAACAATACAATTTCCCCCCCAGCTGAAATCCTCCACAACAGTCTTAGTATAAAAATGTAACACACAATATTCCCAACTCTTCACAAGACCCAGAGAGCAGAACCATTACGTAACTGCTCTGGTGTAAGACTGTGACTCCAGACTATCTATCTATCTATCATCTCCTGTCTATTCATCTCAACAGACCTTCAGAAAATTATCTAAGGCCAATACTGAGGATGGGGGCTTGCACTTACTTTCATGTAGTCTCGCATTCTTCCTCAAACAGTAAGAAAAACCTATCTGCTTTAGCGTATGTGGCATGCTCTAAGATTTGCTAGTTTACAGCATCGAGGTTTTATATTACCATTGGACTTTTGTTCAAGAGAGATACCACTGCCAGGGTTTTCTTACACACAGCAGTCCTTGAAGACCTCTTGTTGCTACTTTAAGATTTATCCACAAATGCACATCAAAGCTTTCCCTATACTATGAAACTTGCTTTTAGGGTCAGTCAACTCCTTACTACTTGTTTAAACATTGGCCTCTAGGAGAGCGGGGGGTTGTTATATATATATATATATATATATATATATATATATATATTCTGCCTGTTTGAAGTTTCTGCCAATAGAGCCCTAGAGCCAATGAGGTCCTTAAGTACTACTTCAGTCCAAATCCTAATAATGATCTGATGTTGAAAAGCTTACATAGGAACATAGGAAGCTGCCTTATACTGAATCCATTGGTCCATGTAGCTCAGTATGTTGACAGGCAGCAACTGTCCAAGTTTTCAGATGGAGGACATGCCTAGTCCTACCTGGAAATGCAGAGGACTGAAACCGGGGCTTTCTGCATGCAGGGCAAATGTCCTATTGCTGAGCCATGACCCTTCCACTAAACTTGAGTTGATAGATGGCTTTGCCAGATGGTGGCATCTTAAGATTTCAGTTCCATAGGCAGGATTTCCTTTCATTATCATCATCATCAACATCATCATCATATCCTGCCTTTCCCCCAGAACTGGGACTCAAGACAGCATACAAAAATTAAAACAAGCATGGATATGACAGGAAAAGATAAAAACATATAAAATATATTAGTTAAAAAGTAAAGTTAAATATATAAATGCATGTGTTAGTGAAAAGAACATGGAAAATACATTCTATTAGGAAAAATGATTTGCAAAAATGTGTATATTAGGCAAAATTGCATTCAAAAATGTGTACAGGAGAAATTCACACTAAAATGCTGGTGAATTTTCATACCCCCCCCTTTGCATTTTAAAATGCAAAGTGATGTGGAACTGGGAAAATGAGAAACCGAGAGGTGCCTAAATTGATACATTCTCAAAGTGAGAACTATGTTTGCACCAAAGTGCGAGTCTTGTTTAAAACAAAATAATTAGAGGGAGACACTTAAGGTCTTGTTCTGATCATGAGGATAGTGATACAGTGGTGCCTCAGTTTTTGAACTCGAACGTTGCAAAAGTAGGTGTTCCAGTTTTCGAACTTTGCCTCGGAAGCCGAATGTGCTCCTGTTTTCACTGTTGTGCAACTAATCTGAGTCCCCTGCAAAGTAATTTAAGTAAATTAAGGCTTCCTTCCTTCCATTTTTACTGTTGTGCAGCTCGTCTGAGTCCTCCCCATCATAATTAAGGCTTTTTTCCTCCTGCTTTTACCCACAACTCATTTGAGCCCCCTCCTCATCATAATTAAAGCCTTCCATTTCTGATTGCAGTGTTCTGAGGTGATACTTGGTGCTTTTGTTTTTGCTTAAAAAAATTGCGTATTTGTTCGTGTGGCTATTTCATTTTTGTGACTGTGGCTTGTTTTTCGTTTTATGATTGATTGATTGATTGATTGACTGTGTGACTGTGGAAATGGATAAAAGCCCCCCATCCAAACAATGACTATCATCAGTGCAGGTAAGATAAAAAAAAATTATTTTATATTTATCATCTACAATACTGTTCTATTTATTTTATAGTACAGAACATTGATTATATATTATTGCTTTCATTTTATGGATCAGTTGTATCGTTGGATAGTAAAATTCATGTTAAATTGCTGTTTTGGGGGTTATTTGTAATTGTCTGGAATGGATTAATCCATTTTGCATTACTTTCTATGGGAAAGTGTGCCTTGGTTTTGGAACACTTTGGTTTTGGAACAGACTTCCAGAAAGGATTAAGTTTGAGAACCAAGGTACCACTGTATGTATGTATGTATGTATGTATGTAATATATTATCCTCCAGACAGTCCATTTATTGTGCATTCGTCCTGATTTGCTTATACAAAGCTTACACAGAGGTTCAACTATTTCCTGTCTTTATTGAGCACTTATTCTGATTTGTTTTGCCAAGCTATATAACAATGTGTAATCATCCTACATCCATCCTGATCTACATTATATGTGATTATATGTCTTCACTTTAGTCATTTGTTCACCCCACAGTCCTCAATGTATTTCCCGTTCACTTCCCAACTGCAAAGAGTCTTGTTACTTTTTTAAAAGTGGGGTTTGTTGTAATAGGGCAACAAAGCACATTAATTGTGACAAACCTAAATTTACAGTCTGCATTTGACTCACTCCTCCACAATAGTAACAGTATGAATGCAACCACATTGTCCATTTCTTATTATGATGGTTTGGCGAACTTTTACCCAGAGCCCTGGTTTGGGTATTTTTCGGTTTGAATTGTTTATTATTAGAAAAGCTGTTATTTCGCAAAACTTTATGGTTGAAAAAATGTGACCTTGGTCAAAGCTATGTCAAATTTGCAAAACTAGGGGAAATGTTGCACAGCACCCATTGCATAGTGACAACCTACCACCTTGTTTTGCTTGGGAGTCTATCAAGAAAAGCAACAAAGAATGTCCATACATTCTTTAAGAGACTGCGTCTTCAAAATTTTAGGAAGCCTATTCACAATAGGTGAAATGTCTCTTAGCTATCATTCCTCAGATCATTGAACAGATCCCGAAAATGAAAGGGCAATCAGGAATAGCTCTGTGTGTGTGTGTGTGTGTGTGTGTGTGTTTGTGTTTTTGTGTGTGTGTGTGTGTGTGAGAGAGAGAGAGAGAGAGAGAGAGGTGGAGAGAGAAGGAGGGATTTAGGATTTGATACTGAATGTTTTCGGAAAGCGTGTCTGTGGCTCTTCTGGAACATTTCCCATCATGCATTGCCAGTGACAAACAATGGCTCCAGTCTGTCCCGTACAAGGCCACCCAGAATATCTCCATGGCTCCCCATGCATTGTGCGCTTCCCCAAAAATAGTACGACTGGCTATAATCATAGTCAAAATTTGGTGATCAAGGAGCCGCAAAAAGTATGTGAAAGCCACAGAACCACTTGGCCATAGTATCTATTGCTTCCATGCCAGAATTATTTGTGAGATGCCAAAATTGCTCTCTCTGGAGTTCTCATTTCAGTTTTGTTATTTTAAGACAACAAAGTACCTTGGCTAATCAAGCTCGAGCTACTCACAGCCCATTTGCATATCCTATATCTAAACCAATCAAATCAAAGAGCAACATCTAAGCACATTCAACTCTCTCAGTCAACCATACCATTCACTCTAACTGCAAACTTGATGGACCTATGCCAGCAGTAGGGCAATAAAATGTGGCCACCCATAGAGAAGGTAGGGAGTTTTTGCATTGTTGGAGGCCTTCCTGGGTGTGCAGGAAAGTGTCACTTTTGCAAAAACAGGCTGTGCAGTCCCAAAACCTTCCCATAGGGAGTGGGGGAAAGTTAGAAAGGAGGTGTCGAGAGGTGACATAAGAACATAAGAAAAGCCTGCTTGATCAGCTTAGTGGCTCATCTAATCCAACATCCTGATGTCACAGTGGCCAACCAGATGCCTGTGGACAACCCACAAGCAGGACCCAAGCACAAGAGAACTCTCCCCTTCTGTGGTTTCCACCAACTGTTATTCAAAAGCATTACAGCCTCCAATGAAGATAAAGATAATGAGGGGTCTATAGACCAAGTCCAGTGAGGAAAGATTGAAAGACTTGGATATATTTAGCCTGGAGAAGAGACAAGTGAGAGGGTACTCTGAGAGTCTCTGAAAAACTCAGGTGATGGAGCAAATTTGTTTTCTTTTGCTCCAAACTCAGCAGGTTCAAGTGATGAGGAAGGGGATTTCAAGTTCCCTGATGGTATGAGTTGTTCAACAGGGGAACAGTCTGCCCTTGGGAGGTGGTAAACTTTCCTTTGAAGCAGAGACTAGATGGTCACCTAGCAGGAATGCTGCGGTCAGTGCTAAAAAGAGGTGCCGGAACTCACCAGGAACACCTCCTTTGTTCTCTTATACAGTGGGTTAAGAACTTAATTCGTTCTGGAGGTCTATTCTTAACCTGAAACTGTTCTTAACCTGAAGCACCACTTTAGCTAATGGGGTCTCCTGCTGCCACTGTGCTGCCGCTGCACGATTTCTGTTCTCATCCTGAAGCAAAGTTCTTAACCCGAGGTACTATTTCAGGGTTAGCGGAGTCTGTAACCTGAAGCGTATGTAACCTGAAGCGTATGTAACCCGAGGTACCACTGTAATGGCAACGGCACCCACCTGAGAGGTGCCAGAACTGAGTTCCAACTGAAAAAAAGCACTGGCTGCCGTTATGAGAGAGGATTGGATTAGATTAGGTTCCTTCCAGCCCTGTGGTTGGTTCCATGATTCTCCAGCCAGTGTGGATGGAAGGATTCAGCAGTCTTCCAATCAGCTCTAAACTCCACCCTACCCCATAGTATTGTAACATTATAGTGGTCAGTTTGGGGCGTGGCAACACAGCATGGAGAGGTGAATTTCACCCCCACTGACTCCCTGTGATGTACAGGGATCCAGGCTGGATGTCATCCTCCCTAACCTCCCTGCCACCACTTCGCTCCCTTAACAATCACTTCAGAGGGTGAAAGGGAGGATGAAGTCTCATCATACATCCTCAGGGGCCTCAGGCTGCACTAGAGATAAGTCCTCTCACCTATTTGGTACACACCTTGTCATTTTTAAAACTTTAGAAGCAAGGCAACCAGAATGAGACCCAATGCATGAGTGAAGGCCCTTTTTTTGAACCCTTTGCCCCGTGGCGTGGTCTGATTTAAAAAACAAACAAACAAAAAACCCTCCTCAAAGCTGCTGTCTGACACCAAGTCAATAATATAAATACCCACTTGAAATGTAAGTGTCATTTTTCTCCCACCATATGTATATTTTGAATCCTTATGCCCATCAGGATATATAAGGATATATAAGGGCGTTTATGTACCAG